CACGGATTTTAACGTGGTTTCAAACAAATACAATCTGAAACAGTCCGCCAGTTGCGCCGAATGTCATTTATCGCGTCGTGGTGACATGGATGGCCATCACATGGTAGATATGGAAATGTTTGACCGCATTGGCCGTTTTACCTTGCCGTGTCTGAGACCAAATGCAGTGAGTCTAATTTAAACTCGATTAAAATAGTGTCGAGCAATTATGTTTACGTGTATCCGATGTGTATAACGCAAATTTCTCCATTGCATGGGAATACAGTGCATGCCTGATCCCAACCACCTCGAGATCACAGATTTACCAAATAATAAGGATGGCCTGAGGTTTTACCTGATGGATGACCTCAAGGATGACCTGACTGTCGGACGGCTTAGACAATGATCACTGCCTCGGTCGTTTCCTCTGTTGCCCTAACATGCAAATTTTGACAACTACTGGTGGTGTGGCTATATATTGGGCCCTGCCATGAGCATTTTGGAAGTGTGATGCTTCCGTGACCTGGGTGTTCACTCATTTGACCCAGACCCCAAAGCCCGTGCACTTTCAGAATTGGAGGGCAGCAAAGAAGTTGCTGGTGCTTGTAAAAGCGCGCGTTCTTAAATAGTTGAAATTATAATGGTGGGAGCATTCTGCCATTTCCGAAATGAAAATTATGAGGTTATTAGTGTGACCTGGGAGGCTACAAGTGTTGTGTCCCCCCACCCCCCCCCCCCCCCCCCACCCCCCACCCCACCACGTCAGGTGAGGAGGTGAAATAACCCGTGCGACAGAGGTCTGCTTCCTGGTGTCGGGAAGGCTGGTCTTACGTGACTAAACAGCCCAAATTTACTTGGCATATGTAGCAGCCATAGTTCATGACCTCGACTACGATGCATATCAACTGCAAATCGAGTTGAGAGATGTGGAATAGAGAACGTATAAATGGGCTCAGGAAGTAATTTAGCGGTTAATGAGTTTGTTTTGGCGTTGTGATCATCTCATAAAAATATGGTTTTGGTCGTTGTGTTTCAGCACAAGGCTGCCTTTGGTTGGTTCTGTCCCTTGCTGTCCGCAAGACTCTGTCGATATAACCATCCAGAGATCCTGTGTGAGCAGACCTTTCAGATGATCTGTTGTTAGCAGACACAAATTGCCCTGACCTAGAATATACCAGGAGGGCTTGTGTATCATTAACCGGAAAATGGTGAATCGGTTGTTGACCTTCGCTTGGATAGCTTGGTGCCAACTTCGCCGGTCCTGGGAGGAATCCGCGAACCGTCTTCTGCATGCTAATGTCATTTGGGCAAATTGAGTTTGGCAACTTGGATGAACCTTTGAGTCTTGAATTCCTACCGCGTCAGGTCACTCTATTGTGACGTCGGGACATGCTATTGGTTTCTATTTTAGTCCTCCCTTCGGTTATGACCATACCTTCAACTGCCTGGAGCCTAGTTGTGGGAGCAGTATTTATTACAAATGTGATTGATTTGCGCGCGAGTCTTTAAGCGGCTGACGAAGTTTTCATGAAACGCAAGCGATCTTTGTGCTTGAAAGAGCGACACGCCCTCACGTGACTGGGCGTTACCGAACGCTTTCGGTAGTATCACAAAGTCACAACTCCACTTAGACACGAATAAATGCTTTTTTGTCGGAAGTTGGCCTTATTTTTGGCAAGTTATGCCCCACTTCAGTTGTTTCATTTTACATCGATGCTGGGCACGAAGGCTTTTCGCGCGGTGCTGCATAAGCAAGCGGTTCATTGCTGAACATGAGATGCTTAAAAACATTACCAAGGCAGAGAGGAACCTCGGGGTGAAATCAGTAACCTGGAAAAACTTCGCTGAGTTTGTGCTCAAGTAATGCAGCTTGTAAAGGCGAAGTCGCTCAGGCGTGTCAAAGTGCTAAACAAGGAAGCAACTGCTTCTAGAATATCTGCCTGCAGCCTATACCGCCCACGTCAAACTTCGATCCAGCTCCCTGAAGTCTGCCATGCGGCCATTCTGCACCCGGCCTCTGTCTGCATCAAGGGCAAGCATATCATGGCTAAAATATACGCTTGCAAAAGCTGTCCAAATGCCTCATGTAACATAAAGTATCGGGACTTGTTGGTGCTCAAGAGACAATAGGACAGAACTGAAGCAAGAAGCACCACTACAGGCATTGTACATTTTTGAAAATTACGCATCTAGCTATGTGAATGCTGGACTGCAAAAAATGTGTAACATATGGAACATGCGACAATCATCATAACCTGTAGGTCGATGGCCTGCAAGTTTTCTGCGCCATGTGGTTACATATCAAGACATGTGCTGCGGTGAGCATTTAGTATCGCGTCACAACTTACCAGACTTGGGCCGTTGAAGAGCATTGCCGTAATGATTTGTACAGAAGTAGGCATAATACAGACATAATTTGGACATTGGTTACTGGGAACTATTATGTAGACTTAACAGTATCTAAGACTTCATATTTTGAAAGCTGTGTTCGCATTGCCTTGAAGTGCTTAAGCGTGAAATGTGATCATGCTCAGTAAAGGGTGATGTTTTATGTACATATGAAATGAGGCTGTAAATCACATCCAACATTGTCAACCATGTCGTTTAGTTAAAGCGTTGCTGACGCTCTGCATGCATACTGGCACCGAGATGTACACCAAGCTCATTCACATCTGTCACTCAGATTTCAGTGGAGGAAAAGGTGATTGCGTTGCTTACATTATTGTGCACTTCCAGTGTCCATTTTTCCCTCAATACGCATTGAGAATTGACGTAGCATGATTATTTTTAACTTAAACCGTTTCCGTTCCATTTCAAACCGTGACGTCAAGCATGATGTATCTGACGCTCCCAGCACGAGCGTCCGCCTTCGCCGCTCATCATACCGGCCGACCCCACTTCATCACTCCCAGCACGAGCGTCCGCCTTCGCCGCTCATCATACCCGCCGACCCCACTTCATCACCCCCACCCGAGGGCGGGCGGCGATTGCTCCGGCTTGATACCAAATGATTTAACTGCTGTTGAGCACCATATGGTCAGAGCTCGCCTCTGTTGAGCGGTTTCCTATGTGTCCGTAATTGTCACTTAGACCCCGCTTTTGCCAGTTGCAGTGCGAAGTGCTAAGACAAGACCATGGCTAAGCAGTTCGCTGTAGCATATCTTACCTCACATGAGCAGAGCTTCGCTCAAGACTTTACCAAAGGGCTTGCACTTAGAAGGTCGCTCACCTACCTGGCAACTCGGTGCCCTGGTCATGTGTTAAAGTGTCTGTTGGCAATAGCCCCGGGTCGCTTTGGTGAAATAACACAGCACATACTCATACATGTGGTGCTCGTATACACACGTACTCGTAGACGTGATTATAACATTATTTGACTCGTGTGTACCAAAATACACTCCACTCTTAAAGGCTCCAAGTTGACAATGGCTTCGTCCGTAATTCACATAACCATCGTATTCATTTGAAATGTTCGTGTTTGCTTTTAACTTGATACTACACAAGGTAATTAAGGCATTGTGACGCTTAACTTATGCGAGGTTCCATGATATATGTGCATTCTGACCCCCTGCCGATAAGGCACTTGCTCTGCCTGGTAAATGAATTATCAGCCACAATTCCTGTCTGGAAACGTGCTATTCTTAATGTGTTTTGCTTACTTGTTCACTTAACGTTTTGCCTTAAACATGTTGGCTCCCGCAAAAGTATGTGCGGCGCAGTTTTGCGAAAATTTCTCGCCCCCGACAGCCTGGTGTCTCTAACCTTCAATAAACCGAGAAGCCTTTGGACTTTGGACGGATCAAATGTAGCCGGCTGCTGGCCAGAAAGCTGCGTGTCTAGTCCTAAAGCATGGCTGATAATCTCTATAACCTATCATTTCGGTATCCGAAGAGGCACCAGCAAATGACTATGGGTTTGCTCTAGAAGTGGCCTGATGCATTTTTGTTTTGTGCCCCACTAGAGCTTATGATGCTCGATGCAATTAATGTCATCGTTAATTGCACAGGCACACTATATATGTGCGCGGGACATGCTTTATTTTTTCAGCGAACCTTGCGAGATAGTCTTGACTACGCCCTTGCTATCAGGCTGCCCAGATGGCGCTGGTGCACTTGCAGATAGAGTTACAGGAAATAAGGTTTTGGTCGAGGTCAAAGACTATCCCCATTCCTTTCCCATCCTCGGGCCCGGTGAATCAGAGAACCGCTCCGGAGACTTGAAGCGAGGCCGCACAGTCAGGATATATCCCTCGACCGTATATCCCCGGGTCCGGACTGGACCGGCCCGGACCAGACCGGACCGGGACCTATATCGTCGGACCGGAGTATAGTTGAAAGCGGACCGTATCCGCGAGCCTCCCGCCGCGGGCGCTGGTCTGGCGTTAGTAACTCAGGGCGGCGATCGGCATGCTCTGTTTCTGATAGCTTCGATGTGGTGTCAGCGGTATCATGGATTCATCATTCATCGTTCAATCTGTTGAGCGCCTGTATCAGCGATTGTGCTGCTGAGCGACTCGTTTCATATGCGACACGAGACGACCGACTGATTCTGAGGCTTCACATTTGCTATCAGACTCAGGCTATTTCACATTTGGCGTTACCATCTAACATTTTCCACTGTATCGCTTCATTTGGGGAGAGTAGGCTTCACAGCTGTGGTCTCGTTTAATTCAACCTAAAAGGTGAACAGAAAGGGAAAACATCCGAATTACGCGCCGAGCCGCTGACTTGGTCGGTCGCCCCGTTTTCGTTGTTAACTTGGTCCCCGAAGCTACCGGGTGTGGAAGTGGCGGAGTTCTTACCAACCCCGCATGATGGAGGAGGTGGCGAAATGACCGTACTTGGCGGTCGCTAACATGGTCGCGGTTCCGCCCCGGAGTGATGCCAGGAATGATCACCCCTAATAATGCCACTCTTCCAAGACTTTTTGACACGAAGTGAATTAAATATGTTGGAGTATAAGCGCGTGCGGGTGCGTGTCATTTAGGATTATTAAAGGTATGTGTCTGTTTTCAGGACGAGAAAATCAAGTGCTAACAACAAACGTATGGCTTGATCAGGTACGTGATGATGAAAAAAGGTGTAAATGGGAAAAATAAACCAGACCTTTGTTAGAATGTTGCGTCACTGTTTGTGGTACTCTCTGCAACATTGTTTAACACATTGTGGTGTGTGCATGCATATTCCTCTATACAGATACAAATGTAGACCCTGCCTGACATAATACTTTGACAGATACAACTAGAGTATAACATTCAAATGAATGCTCGCGCACAGCGGAGTGAGGGTTAGGTATTTATAGTAAAAACCTTCTGGTATAGGTATATTTACCTAAATATTGCTGGATACCACAGAGAAAATTCAGAAGAAAGGAATCTAGGTGTAATTTTCGACACGAGGCACACTCGAATGGAGGTGCAGTCGATTGTCAGCATTTTGGTATCCTTGTTTGCAGACGGAACTTATGGTAGGGGAATTCATCAGAATAATCCTAGATTTTTAAAGTGTTAAAACTTCGAGAAGAGGCTGGTCATCTTACGTTTCAGACTCTCAGGGTGCAGGACCCAAAATGTGGGCAAAATGATTGTTGAATTCGGAGCAGCAAGTGGCCTAGCAAGCAAAAATGCATGTAGTGAGAGAACCTCCAAAAAGAGGGCTGGACCGCCTTCAAGGGAAACTCATTAGTTTGGAAATGCCTTTTCCTGCAGTCAAGTGAACCTAAAAGAGGTCACCAGAAGAACTGAGCTGAAATGAATTCATGCAAGAAAGCCCCTTGCTAGACCTTCTCGTTTTCTCTATACGAGGACGTTCACTTGCATGCAACACACTTGTCACGTTTTTTCAATGTTATACACGCACGTTTGTATGCATAGTTATGTGAATGTGTGTGAGTGTGTGTGTGTGTGTGTGGCGGTGTGTGTGTGGGGGGGGGGGGGTGTGGGGGATGTTTGTAGGTGTGGGTCAGGATGTTGGTGTGGGTATGTATGTAGCATTTTGACATGGCTTTTGTGTGGTTTTGTTCTTCGAGGACAGAAATTGCTCAGAATCTCCTGTTTGTATATTCTACGACATCGCCCGGTCGCGTTCTGTGTTAAAAACGTGGAACCGTTTTTTATGGGCCTTCTGCATTTTCTGTTCCCGTAGTTTATATTACTCCTGTGACACCCTTTTGTGTGTTTTGTTCCGCGTTCCTCATATCCGAGTTCAGACACCGTAAAGCACGTTTGGTCCCGTGAAGCGCGGTAGTGGTGCAGAGAACAATTTTAAAGCCGGGGTTTGTTGTTTAACGTGGCTGTCATGTCGGCTCTGGCTTTGGTACGACTTACCATGCGTTTGCCCACGTTACAGGAGTGGACAGATGAATTGCTAACGTGGGATCCAAAGCGATTTGGTGGGATGATGGAGCTACGAGTCCCATGCGAGAAAATCTGGCTACCGGATATCGTCCTCTACAACAAGTAAGCCCCCAACTTAAATGCATTGCTGAAGGTCTGGTGACTGTGTTAATATGCGAGCATAGCTGCCTGGAGGGAGTGCAAGATGGGTCTTAAATGAGCTTTATCTGACATGAGTCGATTAACTGATGCCATGTTCTGTCCGATCTGGGAGACTTTTGCAATGCTATCCTCGCCCACTGCTCGTCTTCATTTATGAGCCTAGTTCACTGTTATACGCGCATTCATGGAAATGAGGTGTCGGCCTTTTAAGTTGGGAGTTCGTAGATTGACATTAAATGACCTTCAGTGTACTGGGGATGCGGGTTAGTCGTCATGCTGGTTGCTCGTCAATGCCGGTGAGTCGTCCCAATCCAGCAATGGTTATACCCTGTGGAACTATGTGTATATGTGAATGTTTTTATGCAGTATGTAACCCAACAGCTTGACGCTTCCAAGCTCTGCTCATGGTCACAACTTAGCAAGGTTAAGGAAACACAATTGATGTTGAAAATATGCGTTACATACGGTTTCTAATCAGCAGCAGAAACACAAATACTTTATATTCCGCAAGTTTATATGACAATATCTTTATTATCCGCAAGTTTATATGGCAATGTCTTCTTATTGGCAGTGTCTGCACAGGTCCCGTGAACTTTTCTATCTGATGCGTCTTCACTTTTTTAATGCAACGTTTTTGGTCAGGCTCGTGACCATCATTACAGCTGCGAATCGTCGAAATTTTATCACTGTTACTAACGATTGCTAGTTAACGTCGTGTAAGTAGTACAGCATGGCATATTAAAGATCGCTTATTCCCATCAAAAGAACTGTTAACTCACAATGCTGCAAAACTACAAGCCGGTTGTGCTCATATCAAGCATTGATTTGCACTTACAAGTGTTTAAGACAACTGGGATTCGAAGTGCGTGCGTGGTGGTCTAACAAACACAAAGTCCCGTTGCACGTTTGTTGACGCAATGTATCCAATTCCTGGAAAGTCAAAGTATCGCTAGTTCACGCTCCAATAGTTCCACCACAAACATTTGGCTGGCAGTTGAACTAAAAGTCAGGCTTCGTCATCAATTTTGTTCCACGTTACGAACAATCACCACGTCGTCCGCCAGCACAACCATACGCACTGGGTGCGTATTGATACATCTGTATTGATTTTCACCACCACATATAGCTATACGGTGCTAGCCGTTATAGCTCATTTACCGCACGTCCGTACCAATAGCCATTCGCACTGTTATTGCCATGCTGTTCTGCATCGTCATTATTAGCTAGGGGATAGTTCGGCCAACCAAACCAAACCCGATGCTTCTGCGTTTGAACTGCTGTGCGTGTTTTGGATTCTGAAGCTCGGCTTTAGAGGGTAAAATGAAGTATTTTTGGTGGGAAAATTGTAGCATCACAGTGCTACTTCCGGTAGTGAAGGCAATTCGGAAAATCTTAAGCACAATTAGTTCACAAATTGAAGATCGTTGTCGGAAGAAAATGTTGCACTGTTCATCGGGTATTGAACAGAGTATCCCATTTTGAGGCCATCATTGAAGTGGGATCGTTCAGTAGAATGAGAACGTGGTATTCGCTGGATGACGAACCGTTTTCTTTTTTGTTTTTGTTTTTGGCATCCGAGCGGTACTAAATCTTAAAGCTTTTCAACATTCCAACTCTTTGTTATCGATATGCTTGACAAAACCTCTTGTATACTAACCTGGTGAAAGGGAACCCTACAAAACGAAACGAAGTGCATTTCATCAATTATTGCCATTCATGTTTAGTATTTGAGGCACTCTCCACCACCGCTTTCTTCCATTTATCCTGCTTGTAATTGGTCGAGCGATTCATTCAATAGCTCCCGGCATTTCCTGAAATGGAGCCGCTTGCTAAGCTCCACCGCTCGTGTCCGTGCCGGGCCCGACTTCAAGTTGTGCGTGGCGCCGCTCGGACAGACCGTTCATCATTGTACGTCACGCTAAGACACCCATGCATCAACCACCACTCGGGCGCCGGTGCCATACTGATCAGTGATCTGCGAATGCGGCAGGGCGCTGGAGGCAGTCTGCTGGCCGTGGGCCGCGCCGGCGGCAGGGCGCCGCTGGCAGCTGGCTGACGCCGGCGCCACCATTGGCTCTGCTCCTTGGCATGAGCGCTCGTTGTGATCCGTATGGAGATTCATGGTCGTCATTATGAGCCATACCGCTCGCGTTTCCAACATTTTTATGCTGCTAATCGAGACAACGAGGAGGTATGGCAGCGAATGGACAGAGCCGGCGTATATGAGACCATTTGTCTTGAGTTGGCCGTTGAATCTCCTCCCTCGCCGTCGCTGAAGCAATGACACCAAATAAAGAATCTGCTTAAAATGGCTGCCTGCGCTTGTCGGGCGCAGTTTATCTGATTAGGCACGCTGTCTCGGCCCGGATAGACAGCGCGAGCATCTCGGGAGAACTCCCGTTTGAAGGTGTCTGATTAACATTCGTTCCAACTTTTAAGGGCGAGATGCCGCAGAATTTCAATGGAAACGAATGGCAGTGACCCTGCCAAAAGTAGCGGGCGAATTCGAGAACTGAGTCGACCATTAGAACGCCGACCGAGACGGATTCCTGCACTCGGTCACGGCGAGAACGGCACAGCACAGAGCAGGCGCCACATCGTGCAGAAAATCCACGCAACAGCTGGTAGATGGCCGCCCGTGGTATGGGGTCAGCTGACGGTAGCCGACACGCAACCACGTGCTGTGGCCATCTTACACACAGACCGCCGATGGCGGAGTCCTGGTGGTAATTTTTGCAGGTTATTGATATCGCTGTGCCCTTATTTGATGTGAACATCACTGAGAATCGTATTCTCCGAAACGTATTTCCCATATAAGCAGCCAAAACTTTAGCAGCGTACCGCGTTCAGCAGCCGGTCAGAGACGAGTTGATAGAGGCGTTTTCCAGGAATGTGATTCGTTTTCGTGATCCGGAGTGAGCACAAGATAGATAGCACGCGATTAGTCGGGGAATTCAATTTGCTTTTAGTTTGCTTCAATTTGCTTGTAAAACGTTGGGGTCAAGGCTATATAAATAATAGGTTGGGGTCATGGCATGCTTGGCGACACAAATCAATAATATTGGAATGACAGAGACAGATACAGCTAACAAAAAATGCTTGCAGCGAGTCTCATTGATAGCATGAGATAAGTAAAATTGCATAGGTTTGTTCTCTATGCTTTTTATATTCTTATGGTTTCTTAAAGTGCGTTGAGTGGTCATATATTCTTCTGCCCTAGTTCTCCGTCAAGTTTTGATAATCCCCAACCGGCAGCCACCCGCATTCCGTACTTCAACGTTACCAACGAACCCTTTCGTGAGAGATGAATTGGTTAAAGGGGATGTACCAAATTTGAAGATACCAAATCAACATCAGCATATGATGAAATGAGTTCACTTATAGCTGTTGGTATACTTTTAAGTGAAAAGGCTTCTCTAGACAACACAATTTCTCTGTTAAATAAATATGCTCTCCAAAACGTCATTTTGATAACGTCATCGTTCCATGCACAACATCGATTGAGATACAACTGACGGCGATTATATCTGGAGATCCTGTTCACGAACGCCAAATATGACCGACTGGACAATGGCTGTTTTATTAGCCTTGGTCGCCGAGTGGCTAATGAAACGGCAGGGTTTGAATGACGCTATTATGGCGCCATGGATGCTTGGGTGAGCTTAAAATAGTCTCCTGAAATATGCTACGCGTCTTCCGGCTGGCGTATAGCTGCAAAACCAGGGGGAATTAGGTCTTGAGAAGGGTGCGGATTTGATCTGCACCGAACGATCTTCCGGATGGCTCTTTCAGATCAAAACCGCATGCAAATGTGGAGCACTGCCTTTAATCGCAAGAGTTTTTGTGTGGGTCGTTCGGCGCAGAGACGACACTTTTGGCGTCAGTAACTCGGCCGCCAGCGACGCAGCGTTGACTTGTGCCTCAATAACATGAGTCTGATCTCAGTTTCCACAGGCATATTGTCATAATTATAGTCAGGGGAGCGGAAAAGTGTCAATTTTTCGTGTCAAGAAAATTACAAGTGTCAATTTTTCGGTAGGTACGCACTCGACCTGCCACATCCAGTTTTTTTCGGTGTGGCGTACATTCTTGCCATTTTTCCCCACAAGGACTGGTCTGTGACTATGTGCTCTATCCAGGTCATGGTGCATCAGAAATACTGTCATTCGTTCGCGATCCTCCGATGGCGTTTTGTCACTTGTATTCATTCCAGTTCTAGACGTAACTTTGCGCGTTGTCGTCTCTGGCGGTACAGTCTTTTCTAACGAAATGATGTCTCATTTTTCAATTTAAGATATTGAAGAAGAAATTGACAAATGACCTCAATATAATTTTATAACTGATTTTTTCACTGTTTTTCATTATGATGTTTCACTCCTACGTTGCTCCTGCAACCCACTTTGCGACTCATTTGCATAATGCTGAGCGGCAAGTGTCCCACTTCCCCCGTTTACACATCACATTTCACTACATCATGGTAAAGCTCTTGCCGCCCTAACGTTTTTGCACAGCCTGAGCGTGTCGGTGTGACGCGCCCGTTTCGTTCCAGCGCGGACGACTACACGCGCGGCTACATGCAGAGCAAGGCGATGGTGCATCACAACGGTCGCGTGTTCTGGCCACCGCCCACCAAGTTTCGCTCCACGTGCGCCGTCGACGTCACCTACTTCCCGTTTGACGATCAGACCTGCATCCTGAAGCTTGGCAGCTGGACGTATAATGGGTTCCAGGTGCGTTCCAGGTCGTATTGCGCTTGCCGACCCAGCGTATCTTGTGAAGGGGAACGAGGCAGACCAGCGAGCCTTGTGAAGGGGAACGGAACAGACTAGCAAGCCTCGTGAAGGGGACGAGGCGGACCAGCGAGCCTCGTGAAGGGGAATGAGACGGGTTTGCGATGTTCAGTGTGTTTGTTTTTGGGATACATCGCGTGATATGTTACAAAACTTTTTTACAATGTGTGTCAGTAAAATGGAGTACTTTCGGGAAACGCGGATCAATTCAAAGCTCAGGCGGAGTTTTTTTAAACGTTAGTCTTTAGATCATACAAGATATCGTATATTCACGGATGTGGCAACCAGATCCACTCTCCTTCCCCCGCAATGCATATGTGTGGACATGACCCACCGCCCAAGGATGATTTATTTTGTTGTTACTTAAATTCATGATCTATGCTTTCGTTTCGAGGAATGTCTCAACGGGAAACTCCGCCAAGACTGTTGTCTGCCTCAGCTTCTGACTAGAATGCGCTGATATTAGATCCTTTGAGTGTTTGTATTTAAACCGTTGTCAGAAGCGGCTAAGGGCTTGTTCTAAGTGCCGGAAATTTGCCAAGGTGTGAAGAAATCTTCCGTGATGTCTTTCGAAATAACATCACCCTATAAAACACACACTGAATGCATAGTTTGCGCTAATGATGCCACTGTGTTGTTCTTTGCTGTCGTTCAATTACACAGTAACGTTAGCAGCACCAGTAATGTAATTGTGGTATGTCGCTAATGACGAACCCTTATCGGACCCTTATCGTGTATCCTGATTTGTGTTTGTTGCGCTGCGATCGAAGCTTAATTATTTTCTTTGGCACCCATAAAGAAGTAGCGACGGGCTTGGTAGAAATTTAATTTAAGGCTTCCCAAAATATGGTACGATTTTGTGTCCCACGGCATGCAGTCCAAGCCGTCTTCCGTCGCATCGATCGCTTACAGCCGTTTGCTAAACACGTGATGGTAGTTTTCCGCTGAAAAGACGCCCATTTTCTGCCCAACATATGCCGACGGCCTTACGCAAATCTCATTGATCTATGTGCCACCTGCGAATATGCAAATTGGGCTTCGGTTTCCAATAGCTAAAGCGAAAAAGTTGGCGGCAGCCACAGCAGCCTGACGCGTCGCGCCGTGCAGACTGCCTTTGATCGAAACCTTGGCCTCCGAGAAGTTTCCATAGCTGAAAAGCTGACGTCTCCACGCAAAACTTCAAAGCTATTGGAACGGTATTTTCACACGAGCTGCGTCGAGCCCCGTCGGGCCCTCTCGTAGAAAGCCTCGTCGCATGCTTGACGGTTTCAATATGAGTTTGGAAATCGGCAGATTTTCCTTGTATCGCCATGACATCTGGACAGACATTCGCGAAGAGCGAAGCCACGAAGAGCCGTGAGTGGTGATGGTGCATTTTGCGGCAGGTGGATGTAACGAATCGGACAGAGCAGGTAGACCTCACGAACTACATTCCCAATGGAGAGTGGGAGCTGTTGGAGGCGCGCATCAACCGCAATGTGGTTTACTACAGGTTGGTCCGCTTCATGCCTGGTCACTAGCCAGAGGGATCACAGATCGGAATGTTTACATCGCCACTCAATGCGGGTAGCTACAATTAGTCTCTATCTTGCTCCTTTCAATGGCTACCTTTTCTTTAACATCAGTACGCAGCGCTGCAACTATCCGACTGTTCCAAGTCGGCCCCAGTTCTTGTTGCGGGATCATGTCTTACGCGCTTCCAATCTCGCGCATGATTTGGCAGCATATAGCTGTAACAAGCGCGAGAAAATTGATGTCATGTGCTTGACTTGCTAATGGCCATGAGCTGAAGGACCGTCCTTTGCAACCCGTGCACAACAGCAACATTGCTGACTGCTCTGCTCTGCCTCCGTTTCTACGCAGTTGCTGTCCGGAGCCGTTCCCAGATGTGACCATAACCCTCATCATCCGACGCAAGACGCTGTTCTACATGTACAACATCGTGCTGCCCTGCATGATGATGTCGGTGCTGACGCTGCTGGTGTTCTGCATGCCGCCTGAGAGCGGTGAGAAGATCTCGCTCGGCGTCACCGTTCTGCTCGCCTTCAGCGTCTTCATGCTTGCAATCGCCGAGAAGATGCCTGAGACGTCCGACAGCGTACCACTCATAGGTACGTCCAACAGCATGCCGCTCATAGGTACGTTCCGACAGCGAGCCGCTCATAGGTTGTCAGGCAGCGTGCCGCTCATAGGTACGTCCGACAGCAAGCCGCTCATAGGTTTGTCAGGCAGCGTGCCGCTCATAGGTACGCGTCCCGACTAGCGAGCCCGCTCATAGGTTTGTCAGGCAGCGCTGCCGCTCATAGGTACGGTCCCGACAGCAAGCCGCTCATAGGTTTGTCCAGGCAGCGGGCCAGCTCATAGGTACGACGTCCGACAACGAGACCGACTCATATGTTTGTCAGGCGGAGTGTTACCGCTCCATAGGTACGTCCGACAGCCAGCCGCTCATAGGTTTGCCAGGCAGCGTGCTGTCCAGCAGTGCGTCCAACGGCGCGCCACATGCAAACCACGCACGTCCGGCAGCGCGTGCTCAGCATGTTACATTTGACAGAATGGCGGCTCCGGAACACGCTGGACAGGGTGGCACTGATGGGATCGCCCAACAATGTGCCACTCGTAGGTACGTCTGACAATGTGCCATTCGTAGGTACGTCTGACAGTGTGTCACTTGTAGCACGTCTGCGGTATGTCACTTGTGGGCGCGTCCAACAAATGCCACTCGTAGACACGTCTGACAGTGTGTCACTCGTAGGCACGTCCGGCAACGTGCCGCCTGTAGGCGCGTCTGACGGTGTTGTCACTTGTAGGCACGTCCGGCAATACGCCACTCGTAGACACGTCTGACAGTGTATTGCTCGTAGGCTTGCATGGAAATGTGTCACACGTAGGCATTTCCTGACAGGTGTGTCACTCGTAGGTAATGTCTGACAATGTGCCACTGGTAGGCACGTCTGACTGTGACACTCATTACGCCTGGGAGCGCGTCGCTAATAGATACGTCGGGTATTGCGCCGCAGTGAATACATGGCCATCACCTACCAATCTCCTGTGATGTGATGTATTACGGAAAGTGTTTTGCGACAGCGTGCCTCTGATAGGTGCGTCCGGGCTCGACATGTAGTCATAAGTAGATTTGTCATCGTGGTTCGCATGCGGGGAGGAGATTCCAGCTTTCAGAGGGACAAAAAACTATCAACGGATGGGGATGTGACATCATTCTTTGAGAGCTTGTGGAAGCAATATGCGATAGTTCACTAACACCGGCAGACATTAGAGGGAATGTCGCAATTCAGCGAGATGTCAAGGATAGCAGTCGGTGATGGGAGTGACGAAGCAGCGCCTGCCCCACCGGACGGCCTCTGGCCATGATTGGCTCTCGTTTTCCCTCACATCTTGGTCCGGCGTGGAGGCCACCGCACGCCCGGCAGACTCCGGGCCGGAGATAGAGGACCCCCCTCCGCTCACCCCCTCCCACCATTCCCATCCCCCCATCCTGTCCTCCACGGGCCAGCGCGTCAGGCGCAGAGAGGTGATGGATGGCCCGGGAGTGCGGGTCTTGTCTGTGTTTGCCCGAGTCCCGACGACGTACTGACGGAAGTTTTCACCTCATTCTCTCTACACGCGAGAACTGGGCGGGCATCGGCGCTGAAAGTGGACAGCGGGATGTGTTTTACGGCGGCTCCATCTGTAGCAGCCTCGGCGGCGTCACGCAGCATTAGCGGGCCGGCCCGGCCAAGAAAAATGATTACGGCTGCCGCAATAGAAACCGTGCCAGCGAGAAAAGCTCTCACGGCTATTGTATTGGTGCGGCAGCATTTATGAGCCCTTCCACCCACTGGAGGAAAAGTTGGACTTTGTCTGGCTTTGTTTGGTTTCGTCGTTCTCTTTGCAGGCATCGCTATCGGCGTAGTGCAAAAATTCCGATGTTTTGCACTAGCTGCTCTCCTCCACACGGTTCCGCGCCCAGCTCGTGATGTGCTTAACTGGAATAAACAGAACTTGTGCAGCCGCTGGCTTCAGCTGTATATGGCTGGACCTCCGCCGGGTTTGAATTATGAACTAGCCTATGTCCGTGAACAACGCGTAATGCAATGTCTTACAATATCGTTGTACACTTGCACTGCTATGAAAAATGCACGTGTGCATTAATCCCATAAGAAACTTGAATTATAAACGATTATACTTGCTTGAAATGAGAAAGAAAGGAGCTCAGCCTGTGGTTTTTCGGCATTATGATTTCAATCGTCTTATGAAGAGTTAACGCCCTTCAATATACTAGGAGATGCTGGTTAGACGACGTCGTGGTGCTAAATTACGGTTACGTGAACGGTACTTAATGCTTCAAGCTGTGCTCATCCAGAAGGTGAGAGCGATACGCCCCTGAGCATAAGCACAGCTCGAAATATTGAGTACCGTAATATGATCGTTGTTTAGTACTACAACGTCGTTTTGGTAGCACCTCCTGGTATTTTGAAGGTCGTTAACTCTATTAAAGAAGAACATTGAGCTCATGATGCTAGTGAGATTTGATAAGCTCTCATCATAATTACTATCTATTCGAGGTGCCAAGAATTATTGTTGTTCATGAATACCGTGAGGTATCTACACTTGCGCGACAAGGGGAACATCTTATAGCAGGCAGCGCAAAGTGTGATAATAACATCAAATGCATTCATTGTAGATAAAGCAGGTAATGTATGACCGGTTACTTAAACAGCTGGTGGAACTTGCATCTTTGACAACCGATCTTAAGTAATCACTGCTTACATAGGCATGATCGATATGTTCAGCTGTCTTTTTAGACACAACAGTACCCATACTCGGTTCGGTGAGTTCAGCCACCGGCCCCGGTTGATTGGGTGGCTTTTGTCCACATCTGACCACATCTTGGCGAGGCCTGCAATGGTGTGATGTATCAACTCTGGCTGCACCGTTGACGCTCTATGGAAAGTACTTTGCCCGTTCAGTGGACTGAGCGTAATGCATTACCTGGCAACACACACATTCACATCTCGTGCGTGGGCTACAAATCGTTCAGCTCACACGCACTAGGTGTTCCTAATGGCCGACGGGGAATGAGCTTTATCTCGCGCGAACTCAATTATGACGGCAATTGCTTCCGTGGATGCGCGGGTCTGCGAGTGAGCGTGATTAAACTTCAGTGCATTTCAGCTCCCCTAATGCGCCACACTTCCGCTGGCTGTCGGCGTGCGTCACCAGGCAGAGCCGTGCCCCAGCCGGCGACGCTGCGCTCATCCTTCGCCCACTCCGGCTGCCGCAGGCATCTACCTGACGGCGGTGATGGCCATCACCTCCGTCTCCATCATCATGACGGTGGTGGTGCTGAATCTGCACTACCGCGGCCCTGCCAAGAAGGAGGTGCCCCGCTGGGTGCGACGTCTTGTGCTCAGAAGGTGGGTGCTGTCGCGCGCGGGCAAAACGCTGTGGGACTGGAGGTCGTCGTCCAAGGCAGCCGCTTATGACTGTACGCCTCAATACGCATCCGTCTTATCAACAGTACGCCTCAATACGCATCCGTCTTATCAACAGAGTACATAACGATTCTATGGTCAAAACGTCCGAAATCGCATCATTCGGCGTTCATGACATCTAGCGCAACTACTTCACGAAGCCACAGGGTGTTGTCCCGTACGGACATGAGAAAACAGCGTGAGTTCCACGCTTGTGTCGACTGCGCCACCGCCAACAGCCCCGTCCACAGCTCATAGCTGGAGTCTATTGCTAACCATGGCCCGTGAAGCAGCGTGAGTTCCACGCTTGTGTCGACTGCGCCACCGCCAACAGCCCCGTCCACAGCTCATACCTGGAATCTATTGCTAACCATGGCCCGTGGCCTTCGTGGTCATCGGCTGGTTGCGGCTTCTCTGCGCTGTTGTGTCGCGTTCCCGCTCTCCTCAAATGGTTATTTAGAAGAGAGCCATTGTTCGCACCGGGTGAAAAGGTAGCCGGGTGAAAAGTACCGAGGGGCTGATGTACCAAAAGTGGAGAGTTAGTACCGAGGAAGGAAGGCCCGAACTTGGTGAGCAGTGGGCCAAGGATGCGGTCTTCGGACGTTCGCTGGCTCGGTGGGCAGTGGCTCTACGCTGGACCGTCGCTAGTCGCTGCGTCGCTGGCTCGGTGGGCAGAGGCTCTCTGCTGGGCCGTCGCTAGTCGCTGCGTCGCTGCCTCGGCGAGCAGCGTCTCTCTGCTGGACCGTCGCTAGTTGCTGCGTCGCTGGCTCGGTGGGCAGAGGCCCTATGCAGGACCATCGGCAGCCGTGGCGTCGCTGGCTCAGTGGCGACGGCTCCACGCGCGGCCTACGACCTTCGCCGCCCGCAGTGCGGACAATGTGACCTGGGCTATGACCTTCGCTAGCTGCGACGTGCACGATATGGCCTGCGCTGTGGCCAAGCTTCGCCCACTGCCTCGAACGCCCGTGAGATTGGTCTCCTCTCGAGTGTTATTCGTGTCGAACGTCCCTTACACATATGGGTGATATCAGCGTCTACCAGTCAAATGAGGAAAAGGATCTCGTCTGCAGACGCGTCCTAGACACGACTTACACGAAGCCGCTGTATGAGACATGCCGCTGAGCCGCCGTTGCTATGGCAGCGCCCTGATTCGATCAGCGGTTTGAGCCGGCCCTGCCGCCGCCGACAGCCGATCACCGCGCCAGCCTCTCAAAGCCGCAAA